GGTCCTCCTCATTGTTCTTCATCAGCAGTTCTTTCGGTCGATGCGTCGTCGACTTTGGAAAGCAACCGTTTCGTGATGAGTGTGTGAGTGCTAACCACGTTTTGCGTCCATTGCTGCAATGGACGCGCTCTGACCCTCGTTGGCGTACAACAATTTGCCATACAATGAAACTACTGGAAGCGGCTCCAGTTCTGATGGAGGAGGCTTTTTGGATAGCGGAAGATAAAGTGTTTATTGTGTTGTACCTTTTGACTATAGTTTTAAGATGTATTATATAGTGACCAAGAATCCTCGGCTCTGTAAAGTTAATTCGGTTGAGCCTTATCAAATAAATTAATGAACAAAAAAAAAATTCCAATCGATTGCCTTGTTTAGAATTAGTATCCATCCACTATTGACAGAGTTATAAGTGGTTAAATCCTGACCACTTTTCGTAACGCGATCGATTTTGTTTTTTTTTTTTTAATTGCACCCCCAATATGTTGCCGAAAGACGTAATCCTACGTCAAAAGAGTTTCAAGAGAATCTCAATCTAGAGATATTTCCAAAGGAATATCAACGCGAACATAGTTCTGTTTGAAGCAGTTGATAGAATAGAGTTTAAGCTTGATACGTAAAAAAAGTAGATTTTAATTCTAGTAATAAACTGTTTTTGTTTTTGCGTTGCAAAAATGAAGTGAGAAATGGTCGCTGCACATCTTGAACTTTAAGTGTAAAAATGCATAGGTGTTGATTCAAATGTTAAGATTTACCTACTTTTTTGCATATCTACAGTAAACTATGATCCTAATCTATCAATTACTTTAAAAAAAACAAATTTCAACAACTGAGTGAAAAGTTATTTACAAATGAGCAGTTGGTGTGTACAACTGTGCATGCCAAGCATGCTGAGGAGAGTTATTAAGGAATAATACACGCAAACCACAAATTTATTACAATGAATGTTAGTTCCATTTACTATCATCACAGACAAACAGACGTAACTCTTTGAAAAAGTTTTTCATGAAAACATAGTATCTCAAAACATAGGACCTCAGTAGCGACATCTTTCAGGCTTCTCGCGGAAAACAAGCTTGCTCGCTAACTCGCAAACAATATTGCATAAAAGTTCTATAGAACGTATAGAAACGTCAAAGTGATCCGATGCCAGCGCTGCGGCGAGTAGTTCGCGGAACTGATAATATTCAAATCAACCGTTAAATGCGTGAACGAAGATACACAATGAAGAGTTACGTCTGTTTGTCTGTGCTATCATCTTCTGTTCATGAACATAGCAACGCATGTTAGAAGTTGACCTTGCAGACGATGCAATGATTTTTAGTCTTTTTTTATTCCGTGTTCTGTATATGCTTTCACCTACGCAAGCAAGCATTTGCCTTGATTGTTATGTATAACATGGTAGAATGACGCACATACTTGCCTCTATTCTCTCCAGCAGAAAAAAACAAACGAAGTCGAGTATGCGAGGAAATGAGCCCTCTTGTTTGCTCCATATGCATCCATATCCCGAAGCATGGAGAGAGCAGTGGAGGAAGCACAGGTCTGATAATCGCAACCTTCGTGGTTCGAGTCGCCCAGTCGGTGCTTTTTTTTCGACATGATTAATTTCACTCACTAAGACACTCCACCTTTTCTTTCTCCATTTTCTTGCATTGGACTGCAGCTCCCCGCATATCGCATCCCCGGTTCATGCGGTCTCCACCAGTGTTGGGAAAATATTAAAAATCAAATCTCACCAACGCCCAAGATCACGCTTGATTTTCGTAGACAAAAATCAACAAGCAAACAACTGCGATTGATTTTGCAAGCTATGATATCGCAGCTCGGAATATCAAACTAACAAAACTCACCAACTGCAAATCTCACCAAACTGTGATGAGATTGAATTTAACTATTTTTGCTTTACACCCGAATGCAACCGAAACTTCCATAATGGCTTGCAGCAGTCCCTTTGCGTCTGCCATCGGTGAAGATTAAAAAGAGATAGGAAACTATGCTTTCTCTTTCTAAGAAAACGATGTGCAATGGAATCATTTTTGTGTCGAGTCAACTCTCAGCTTGATTTTTGCACGTTGCGAATAGTCTCGCAATATCAAAGGAGCTTGTAAAATCAATATCAAGCATGATATTTTGTTCCAATATCACGCGTGATATTGCGACCGCATAAGAGCGGAAAAATATCAATTGATTTCTGATTTTGCCAACACTGGTCTCCACTGACATCCTCTGATGATGAATCCCACAAAATTGTAAGCGAATCTAACATCCCCCGGTTGGGTGTAGTAATAGAACTTCTAAGGAGAATTCCATGAGGATTGTGAGGAGAATTCTAAATAGGAAATTGAAGAAATTTTCCACATTCAGAATAAAATAATAGTGAATTCCATAAATTATTCAAAGGGGATTCTGAACAAAATTTGGTGAATATTCCTTGGGAATTTTGACAATATCTCAAAACCCAAGCAACAATTTTAGTTTTATGAGGGTTCTGTAAACCATGATTTAGACTTGTAGAATGCTAAAAAACCTCTATAAAGCTTGCAATGTTACTTGGGATGGCATCCTGACAAGAACTCCTAGTGAATTCTGATAACAATTCACATAGAGGATAGCTCTAAAGGAATCCTAAGATGAGCTAGAATTCTGAGAGCAACTGCAAAGGAATTACGATGATGATACCAAGGGAATTCTAAGGATAATATCAAACAACTTCTTGGAGTATTGCAAGGAAATCTTGAAGAGAAGTACCTAGGAAATGTTTAACATAATTCTAAATCATTTTTTGAGAGAATGTCAATGAATGGGTGGGGCGTACATAGGAATTTATATCGGTACTTTTAATTTCAAGCAGAATTTTTGATGAATGCTTGAAGAATATTGAAGAGAGTTCTTAGAACATGTCTAGATAGAGCTGGAATTAGGGCGTAACAGCTTTTGTAAACAATGACTTCTCTCGATGATTTCTACAAATTCAAGGCTCGCCCACGCAAATCAACATCATCATCGAGCAGAGGAAGACTTCCCCTACCCGATAATTGTATTGGATTGCGTAGGCGTGCCTTGAATTCCTAGAAATCTTTAAGAGAAGTCATTGTTCACAAAAGCTGTTACACCCTAATTCCAGATGTATGAAAAGAACTTCAAGGTTATTACGAGCAGAATTCTAAGACAGTTCATCCGAGGAAACATGTTTATTCTTAGAAAATTATGAAAGGAAAGGAATTATAAATAATTATGCAAGTTCTTGCGAGAAAGATTTGCAATTCGAAGAGGATTGAAAAGTTTATTCCAACGTGAGAGAATTTCTAGAGCGTCATAAAGATACTTTGAACACTAGTGACAGTTAGTTAGTTTTCTTTATTATAGAAGCTTTCAGCCTGAGGCTGGTTCGCCTCCGACTAGTGACAGTCCCAAGATTATTCTTGAGAAATTTTTATCAGAAATCTGAGAAAACTGTGGAATGATTCAAAGGGAAAAATTGAGAAAACTCCAAAGAAAACCTGTGAAGACTTGCAACGAAATTATTAAAGTAATTCAGGCATGTTGTCGACATGCCTTTGTGAATTTCTAAGCAGAATATAAATTTAAAAAAAAAAAATCGTCTGCAAAAATCTTCAAAATGTTGTTCCTTACATTTTTGCTGACATTCTGGGACTAAGACTTGTGAGGTCTCGGATTGGGAAGCCGCTTGATACTGAACATATTAAAATAATAATAAATGGGAGAAATTTCCACGAACCTGATGACCGTTATGCAGGACTCTACATGTGAAATATCATAGAGGTAACTCTAAGACCAGAAGGTCCCGCAGAAAGGTGCTCAACATTCAGGCTCAGCTCTGGTACTATCTTCGATCCCAAGCTAATCGATGCACCCCTCGAAACATAGGAAAATCTGCGAACCCCTAATTTGATCTGTCAAACTTTCATAGCGAATCAAAACGAAAATAGTGTAGTACTACTGGGACCAATTAGGTTTTGCACCGTCGGGGTTAACCTCAATCTGATGACAGTTTAGTGGTACTGTTTACGTGGACTTAGTCGATTTTTTCTTGGTTGGATTTTCTCGATAATTTTTCAGACTGCAGTGAAATGTAAGTACATTTCTGCAATGTTCACGAGCAACATCCTTGCAATGCGATGTTCCTCGACAATTTTCAAGTTAAAATTCGGAAATTTTAGAAATTTTTTTTTCGAAAAAACGACTAAGTGCTTGTAAACAGTACCACTGAACTGTCAAAAAGGTTCAGCCGATTAACACTGAGTTCATTCGTGACGTCACGCTGCAGAACCTAATAGGCTAGTCAAGTAGTGAGCCAATTTTAAATCGTTATTTTCCACCGGTTGGCAATATGCTCTTATGAGAATGGGTGCCGTAACCCTATTAGGCACTTTGTGTACAAGTTCTCACTCCACTCCTTGGAAACGCTGTTGTAAGGCAAATATCAAAAGCCGCACATAATACCATACAACCGGATGTAATCAAAACAGGAAAAATCCACTGAACCCTAATAACCGAAGCAATTTGTATGCGTCAGTTGGTTGTAAAACCGAATTAGAAGACGACAGATCGCTGTTATGCACATATGCTTTTAGCAGTTTTCCGTATAATAAATTCGAGCGTGCAGCTATGACTTGTACACGTCAGTCCTGATGTTTCGTTACAACAATGAGCTTTTACTGCTGCGGCCCCTTTCTATTGCAATTTGTTTTCTTTTTGGATTGCGCGTGTTTCAAAAGTGCACACACTCCTCATTCCTCTGCACTCTTGGAACTGTTGCGACACGTGCTTTTCAATCATACGCGAAATTGCATTTGAGGGCCTACAAAGGGCTAGGGAAAAGGCAGAGAGTTCCAGTCGCAACTTGATTGCTAGTTTTACCGTAACAGACCATCGGTTGACTTCAGCAACAAGCGTACCGTCGCTCAGTTTTATTGCATTAGCTTTTGATGGGGAGCTTTCAACGATTCTAATTCCAGTTCAATTTTACTCTCTTTCAGGCGGAAGCTAAACGGATACTCCAGCTTGGACTTCTTTATTATGCCTATATCTGACAAACCTCGACTAAATCATCCGTTGAAGTAAGTAGTACATACACTGTCTGCCGTCAAAATTTGTCCAGTACACTTTCAATGATCGCTTCTCGGTTATTTCCCCCAGTGCCAAAAAACCAACCCCTGTGACACCGAACCCGTGGGTAGCGGGTGGTCCTCCCGGCGGCAAGGACGCCGTCCTGGTGTTCCGAACGAGTGCCCTGTCCCCAGTGAACTCCAGCGCCGATGGTTTGGAGAGCGGTTCATCAACGGCAGCATCCATTGCGTCGGACGAATCTACTACTATATCAGCTGCCTCGACTTCTTCGGTGCACTCGACCAAAGATCCTACCGGAACCTCTAGTGATAAGTTAGCCAACCATTCGAAAGTACTCGCAACACTGCCTAAAAACTTTAATGTTCAACGAAAATCAAATAGTATTAGTAGCACCGCTAGCAATAGTAACGACGACGATGACGACGAGGACGAAGAAGACGACGAGGACGATGACGACGATGATGAAGACGACGATGACGAGGCAGAAGGGGAAGCAGAAGGTGAAGAAGAGGACGACAACGACGAGGCGACCACTTCGCAGGACGAAGCTGGTCCATCGAACGCGGCTGGCAATGAGAATAAACCAAAGAAACGCCAGCTGGAGTCGTCCTCCTCTTCGAGCTCGTTGAGCAACGCTTCAGTGACCGGTCGCGATTGCGATGAGGCCGAGCCGGATCTTCCTACGTCCAAGTCGGAACCGTTGCTGGCAGTGGTAGAGAAGAAGCTGGCTCGAAAGAGCCAGGAAAACAAAGAGAACCAATGTGTGGTGAAGACGGAGATGCCCGCGGCACAGCTTAACATCTACTACAAGTTTATCAACACGGAAACGCGGTTACTGCGGAAGATACTGAGTGCCCACGGGATGGGGGAGAGTGGTTCCGATAGCAACGATTTCAACCTGCTGTGGACGGGCATCCATCTGAAGCCGGATATCCTGAGGAACTTGGCACCGTATCAGAGGGTCAACCACTTTCCGAGGTAGGTGTGTTTGGGGTTATATCTTTTCGGACACTATCGAGCAGGTCCACGCCAAATGACAAATCCGAAGTGATGTGACTGACTCCGATTTGCATAAAACTTTGTTTGTTATGGTCAATCATTCACATTTGAGCTAAAATTTAATCTCGAAAAAAAAAAACTTCAAAATGGCGTATTCTAAATGTTTCAACAAATCATAACTCGAAAATTACTCCTCATTTGCGCTACACAGGGCTGATTTCCTAAAATAAACAAAGTGAGAATCAAGCTATCACAAAGTTTGCTTGTCTTTCACCCTGCACAAGTGTAAAGCAGCGGAGAAGAAGAACCCAGAAATAACGAAAGCTCAATGTGTAGCCATCGCTCCGACGGCTCCGGCGCAAAGAGCGCCACTCAGTGTAAGGTTTCAAATGGGAAACCCAGAAAAAAGACAAAATTCTTCTTCGTTATGCCCTTCTCCATCTCCTATGCATGCAGTCGTGGTAAGCAAAGTCTGCAAAGAATTCTAAGAAGACATTAGCGCTTGTTGTATTATATTCGCTCCCTGCGCCGCACGGAGTATACCGCTCATTGTGTGGATCGCTTTCTCACAAATTAGTTGGAAAAAAGTGTGCGAAGCAAATGGGAGAACCGCACACTCTTTGTCGAGTGTTGTGAGATGCATGCACAAAGTTGCTTTGCTAACGCTCTGAGGTGCTTTCCAGCCTTGGCGCCATATACACAGAAAAAAAAGTTGTTGAATATTACATCCAAACTGCTGCAACCAGGTCAATCCATCGGTTGTGTAATATAACGTTGTACGATGTACATCGATTTTGCGTACAAAATTACATCCATTTATTTAATATTGTACCTGATTTTTGCTATTACATCATTATTTCATACATCAGCTTGAATTACATTTATCGATATCACATTTTTTTTGCTTTGTAGCCGCTCCTTGAAGAATTTTAGTAAATGTATCGCAATACCGTAAACACTAATTTTTTAAAATGATGTTACCAATTTTTGAAAATAAATTCTAGCAACTCTGGATTTAAACAAAGACAGCCTAGAAACACCCGTTGTGCGGTAGATCAAATCTCATAAATTTTAAATGATTCAATTATTTAAGATTATATTGAACTCAATACACGTCTAGATTTTTTTATGATGTTGGGGCAAATGACCAAAACCTACCCAACCAGAATCTATCATTTAATATTAGGAATAAACCTATCAGAACTTTCGTAAATCGATTCTTGAATTCATAAAAGGCCCAGATATTACAGTAGATGGAATAATTCGGGATTATTCTTAAAATTATGGACGAGCAAAAAAATATTTTTCATTCTATAAGTTGATAGTTCTATAACTCGATGGTCCCTTCAATTTCGAGTTATGGAGAGTTGACTGTAGTTCCAAGTTCCATAAGTTTTAATCCTACCAACATACATAGTTGGTAGTGTAAATTTCTGTTCTATGTGATGCACATAAATGGAGCGTCTCATATCATATAAGTTTACATTATAAATCGTGTAAAGTTCTGAGACCTTTCACAAAAAGTTCATTCATTTTCATTTGTGAACAACTTTGCTTACAAGTTGCTTGTTTGCGTGGAAAGAATTCAAGTTTACGTCAATGAATGTTTACATCACAATTAACATTCAGATTTTTTTCAGTGGAGATCTCATAACATCTATGATTATCATCATCTGTCAAATTTCTGGGAAGATCCTGAACCTTTTCTACAAATATTTCAGAACATTTGGACAGTTCCCTGAAATTAAATGTAGTTCCCAAAATTTCCAGGAAGCTCACTGACCTTTTTTGAAGTTAATTTTCTGATAAACTGCTACGAAGTTCTCTAAACTGATACGAAGATCTCTGAAGTACTAAGAAGTCTGCTGAAGTTCTACGATACCCCCTGAGGGGAGCTTCTAAATTTCTACAAAATTTACTGAGCATCAACTAAGTTTACTGAACTTCTAAGAAGCTCCTTAAACGTTAACAAAGTTCCCAGCACTTATATGAAGTTTCTCGCGGTACACGAATTACGTTACGCAATACATCCTGATTATAAACCCCCTCATCCCCCCCCCCCCCATCATGCGTTACGTAATTTGTGCACAAAGCCTTCTGCAAAGTTTGAACTGTATTTTTTTCAAAATTTCCCTGAACTTTAAAGAATTTTTAAGATTTTCTGCGAAGTTCCCTGAAAATTTGTGAAATTTCCTGAACTTCTGCGAATTTTCCTGAATTTCTACGATATTCACCGACCTATTTCAAGTCCCCTACCTATCGGTCCATCCATGGGCGTGATCAGAAATTTTGTGCCTCAGAAAATCTCGACGGCGCCGACTGGGATTGAACCCAGACCTTTTGGAGAGAGAGGCAGTCACGCTTACAACTACACCGCCCGCTAAGTCCATTGAGCCTCAACGAAGTAGCATGAAGTTAAAGTAAGTTGCCCGAACTTATCTGAAGTACTCTGAAATTAAAGAAAGTTCCCTCAACTTCTAAAAAGTTCCCCAAACTTGTAGAAAATTCGCTCCTGCAAACTTTTGTTAATTTCAACGAAGTTCTCTGAAGCTCTTCCCCGAATTTCAGTGAAGCTCCCTGAAGTTAAAGAACAGTACCTGACTTAATCGAAGTTCCCCGAATTTCTACGATATTATCCAAACTTTTGTAAAGGTCGCAACATTTCTAAAACATTGAATGCAGTTCTACAAAATTTTCTGAACTTCTGCAAAATTTGCTGATCTCCTGCCAAATTTCCTGCACTTTTAGATTTTGTTATATATTCTGCATAATTCCCTATTTAGTCCTTTTTCGAAGTTTCATGAAAATCTACGAAGTTTCTTGAAAATCTACAATGTTCCCTGATTTTTTACGAACTTCACCAATATCAAATGATGTCGTCTTAACTTCTACAAATTGCCCTTGATTTCTTAGAACGTCTGTAAATGCTCAATTTAATAAATCTCAGATATTGAAAACTTCCCCTAACTCTCAAATTAAGTAAGAAGCTTTGAAGACATGTGAAGACATTCCTTCGATCTCGTTGAAGATTTATTCAAATTATATCTGGCATCCCTGGCTCAATCTCAGCATAGGTTGTCACATCTGTGGAATTCTGATTCATCTAACTCATTTTTGTACGTTCTGCGGTCTTGTCAATAAAGATAACCAACTAGCTGATTCCATTAGCTATTGTTTGCTTCTCCCTTCAGCAAAAAAAATATCACCCGCAGTTTGTAGGCAAATCTTTAGTTGGCATTCATTGACTAATTCCGCTAATTTGAAAATCATACGACCATTCTATACTTAATATATATTTTAATCTAAACCGCAAAGGCGGCGATTTGAGACGGACCAATTTAGTACTAAGCCCATAAGAGCACTAGCACCTAGCACTGACAATATTTTTGTCGCTTTATATTTCAATAATACATGAAGCAAAGCGCCCAAGGCGAACCATAAAGGGAAACAAATGCTCCAAAGTGTTATATTGCAACAGATGGCTCTGTGGAAGTGAAATCAAAATTTCAGATCAAACAAAGCATTCCGAGCGAGATTCCGACTAGAAATTTTTACAGAAATATTAATATTTCTTACTACTACATATTTTCTGTTCACTAATTTTTGAACAAAGTTGCTTTTTTATCAACAAAACAACACATTTTCATACATTTCCTTTAATTTTAATACCACTTTTTCGTCTTCCGTTTGGAGGTATCTGAGAGTGATGCGCATGATTGAGATGAATACAAACGAATGTGCTGTCGCGTAGTGATGAATAGCACAAGCTCATTGTGTTGCAACCTGGGCTGTTCTTTGAGGTACTAGCATCTCATTTAGGACAATAATACCATAGAGGTAACTCTAACACTAGAAGGTCCCGAAGAAACGTGCTCAACTTTTTGGCTCAGCTCTGGTACTCTCTTCGGTCCCAAGCTAATCGATTTACCCCTCGAAACATAGGAAAATCCACTAACCCCTCATTTTATCTGTCAAACTTTCATAGCGAATCAAAACAAACATTGTGTAGTAGTAGAATTTCGACTAGAATGGGGTACGTTAATCGATTTGCTTGGGACCAATAGGCTAGTTAAGTAGTGAGCCAATTTAAAATCGTTAGTTTCGTATTGATTGTTGATAATAACAGTAGAGTAGAGGCACAAACGAAGTGACAGACTCAAAACTGAAATGTATGAAAAAATGACAATATGATACACTCTTTGCACACTGTCAAAAATCATTGCACACAAAATCAACTTTGTTCAAATCAAAACAAAAAACTAGCCCATCTGGTGGCTGATGGCACAAGCTTCTACGAAAATTCTATTACAGCGAACCACATTATTTTAATTGATTTCTTCGCCAGTTAGTCGTCTGTCACTTCGTTTGTGTTACAAGCCCATCGTGATCCGAGCTTGGATATGTGATTGTTGTGAGAAACTTGCTATCGCAATATAATGATGATTACATCGAAGATGATATCGTCCTCTTCACTCGGCTGATCATCAACGTCCGCGCTGGCTTCGATCATGCTGACACCTGTCTGTTATTGAGCCCTGGTGGTGAAGTTGATGGGAATCGATTAGTGCGATACCCTAATACAGTTTGTATGGTTATTTTGCTTAACGACATGTTCGGAGTATCATCTAAACCATATGTGGAATAGTTAATTAGGGTTATCGTTCGTTTATAGTATTTTTTATTGAAGTATCTTGTTAATTAGATATCTTTGCTAATAGCAAATTCGTCTATTATTCAGTTCCACCCAATGAGGTACAGAGAGAGGTGAAACAGATCGTGAAATATTGTTGTATTAGTATCGGTATTAGCAACCGGTGAAAACTAACGATTTTAAATTGGCTCACTACTTAACTAGCCTATTGGTCCCAAGCAAATCGATTAACGCACCCCATTCTAGTCCAAATTCTAGTACTACACAATTTTTGTTTCGCTATGAAAGTTTGACAGATAAAATGAGGGGTTCATGAATTTTCCTATGT